GTAAAAAGGCACAGTCCCAATGTTACCAAACCACACATCAGGCCATTCATTCAAGTCCACTGAAAGTCCCAAGGTGGGCAGAACATGGCAGGCTGCTGAGCAGTGACAAGGCTACATGCATGGTTCAAGCGTGCCATAAGCTAGAGACCGTTCCCAAAGCTGCTACTTATATATGGGAAGCAGACCACATACCCAAAGCAGCTACTCAGCTGCTCCAATAGATTCCACCATGGAGTTAATTAACAATCTCACCTTAGGGAGTAACTACATTCAGCTGCCCAGCCACTCAACCAGGCCCAGCCAAGTTGGCACACACACACTTAACTACCACAGTTGTGCTCTTAATTCTCCAGCACTCTCCCTCTCTCCCCATATGCTTCTCTACCCTGTTTCTTCCAGCTCTTGGCCAAGTGAGGCAGCCAAAGAACAGAATAAGAGATAGCAATTTCAAATCATTATTTCAAATCCTGTCTTAAAGGCCTCCATCCCTATCTAATGCCACACACTGGCAGAGATCCACCACCAGAGAGAGCCAGACAAAATCTCCCTCGAGATGATTATGTAGCTGCACTCACTCTTCTGTATGGTCACCATTAGAGCAGTACAATCTAGAAGAGTTAGGAGAGAAGTATGGAAAGCCCAATGCCCTGCAAAAACCAAGGCTTCCATTTCTCCAACCTGTGCTTGGGGCTACACAGAAGAAGGAGGCAAAGTTTTAATCCATGCCTAGAGATCTGGCATTTATCTCTACCATCTTAACCTCTTCTCTCTGCCTCTACTCCAGAACTCCCAACCTCCAGGAACACAGAATGACTCACAATACCCCCAGGTGCCAGGTTGTCTCACCCATGTGCTTTCTGACAAGTGCATGTGTGCAGCTTCCTTGATGGCCCCACTCTCCCCATCCCTTACATCCTCAACCCTCATCCCTACCAAGAAAACTCCTAGTTTTCTACAGGCTTTCCAGAACACCTACTTTTCCCTGAGAAGATCCTTAACTGTCCCATGATTCACACCAAGTCTGGCTTAATACTCTTCTCCATACCATGTGACCTCTAGGTGTACCTGGTTAGCACCAGCCACACTGTCTGCTGCTCACTCTGCATTCCCCCCATTGACAGTGAGCTATGATAGAAGACCCGATCCTAGCACCTGCTTCACTGTTGGTCCAAATAGGAGCTCACCACAGGCTTGGCTGTGAACATAAACAAGGAGAGCTTGGAAAATCCAAGTTGTGGGCTTATGATAAAAGCACCCTCTGACAATAGAAGAAGTGTGATTTAATGAGAAGTTGGTGCAAGGGGAATTGCAGCCTGGGGCTAAGATGGCAGACTCCCAAGCAGCCTGCAACTCCATGATGCTTCCTTAGGGGCATCTTTCTCTTGGATTTATAGTTACCTCTTTCCCTAGTGGGCTGCTTCAGCTTTCTCCTCTCCACACTAGGAGAATGAAACACTCATAAACATAGTTATCAGATGGACTGCTCACCATGTTATTAGTGATACTTCCTGTATCCAAAGGAAAGGAATCTTTTCCAAGGAACAGGAAATTGGTGGGTGTTCAACAGGAAATTGAATGAAGTTCCCCCAAGATGTCTGTCAATTTGGCTGGGCCTTGAGTCTCAGTGGTTTGGCAATTATGTAATGATGTAATCTGGTAGTTATGTAATGATGTAATCTTTGCTCATGATGTGATCAGATGTGAGCAGTCAATCAGTTGTAAGGGGATTAGGATGGGATGCAATATCCTTACTCGGGTCACAGCCCTGGGCCAATGTTAGGGGAGTTTTCCTAGGGTATGACTTGCATCAGTTTTTATCTTCTAAGAGACAAAAGGAGAAGGAAGAGAAAGAGAGACAAGAATGTACTACCACAGAGAAATATGAGCTAAGAGCAAGGCATGTCCCTTGGACTCAAGATCCCTTTAATGAGACCCTCCTGGACATAGGGGAAGAATGATGCCAAGACACATGGAGATCTCCAAGGGGTGCTGGCCCCACAGATGTTGAAAGGAGACAGAGAACTTCCCCTAGAGCTGAGAGAGAAAGCCTTCCCCAAGATACGGCACCCTGAATTTTGACTTTTAGCCTAGGATGCCTCCAGGCACTTGTCTAAGGGCTAGACTTGTCAACCCAAGGAGAACGCTGAGCATCTTTGGCCCAAGGCTTACTGACAGAGTCGGGTGCCTGTAGCACTTACTGGTAGAGCTAAAGAGCTTTGTAACATTTGCCTGAGCAGGGCAGAGGCCAGGCTGGCCCAAGTGACCTGAGAGGTTGAGGGACCAAGAGGCCAAGGAACCACAAAGGAGAAGCTGAAGAGACAGAGTATGAAGCAGAGCTTCCTCGGTCTCAAATGGTAGTGCCATGATCTCTGTGGTCTCAAGGGGTGGGACCACGGCCTCTGGGGCTTCAAAGGTGGAGTCACAGCCTCCTAGATTTCGGAGTCAGAGCTTCACTAAGTATGTTCTAGAGTGTGGGGCTGCCATTCACAAGTTCAGTGGACAGAGCTGCTTCCCAAACCTGAGGGGGCAGGGATGCCATGCCCAAGAAGCAGAAGAATGGGGCCTGCCAAAGCCAAAGGGTGGGGTTGCCACTCAGCTGAACTAGGAGAATGGGGCCACCCAAAATAAAGGGAGCAGAGCTGCCAACACAGTGGGCCTAGAAGGCAGAGGCCCAGGGACAAGTGGCCTCCATACAGAATACAGAGAATACAGCCAACATCCAGAATCTGGAGGGCAGAACCACTGCCCAGACGGTCTCAGAGAAAACGGATTGTTTTCAAGCCTTGAGAGCTAATGTAAATTGTTCCGCTGGGTTTTTTACTTGCTTGGTGCCCATTATTCCTTCTTCTCCTCCAATTTTTCCCATTTCTAATGGGAATGTCTACCTTCTGCCTTTTCCACTATTGTACTTCAGAAGCAGATAACTTGTTTTCTAAATTCATGGATGAAGAGGAATTTTGCCTCAGGATGGAATCTGGACTGGGAGTTAAGACTTTTGAGATGGTATAATGTAGGAAAAGTGTTTTGGATGTGGCAAGGACATGAATTTTGGGGGACCAAAGGGTGGAATGTTATGGACTGAATGGTGTCCTGCCAAAATATGTGTCAGCTTGGCTGGGCCATGATTCTCAGTAATTTGGTTTGGCAGCTACATGATGATGCAGTCATCCCTCATGCTATGATCTGATGGGATCAGCCAATCACTTGTAGGGGGATTAGGGTAGGATGCAGTACCCCTACTCAGCCTTGATCTAAGGGGAGTTTCCTTGGGGTTCAGCCTGCATTGCCTTTTATTGTATAAGAGATAAAAGGAGAGAGAAGCAAGTAGAGAAAGAGTGACCTACTACTACCCAAGAAAGAAAAGCCAGAAATGGAGTATGTCCTTTGGACTCAGGGTCCCAGGGCTGAGACCCTCCTAGACCCAGGGGAAAAATTATGGCCAGACACATGGAAATCTCCAATGGATGCCAGACCCACAGATGTTGAAAGGAGCCGACAGAGAGACAAAGCCCTGCCCTAGAGCTGAAGCCCTAAATTTGGAATTTCAGCCTTCTAAAGCATGAGAAAATAAATTTGTTTGTTAAAACCATCCACTTGTGGTATTTCTGTTATATCAGCACTAGATAACTAAGATAGTGTGACTCCTAGCCAAAGGCCAAAAATGATATTTTATTCAGTGACCCATCTTTCTCCAAAGTTCAAAAAGAACCCTTAGGTATGCAAAGAGGGCAAGAATATAGGGCTCTCCACATTATTCCTCAGAGTAATGGCATCTTCTGAAAATGCTGGTGTCAGAGAATGAAATGGGAAGGGTGGTTGGACACACAAGAAAAAACTCTGATGACATCAGATGTTATTTCTAACTTGGCTAATTGAAAGTGAATGTCCTTCACATCCACAGAGATGCTTAACTGGGGAGGGGAAACCTATTTGTGATAAAACAAAAAACTAGAGACAACACCCAAAAAGGCAGCAAGAGTTGGTTGCATTTGTTGGATGGGTCAGATTCTGGAAGCTGAGGCCTAGCCTCCATAACTGGGAAAACAATGCTGAATCTCAGCCCTCAAAAATGCAGGTATGTTCATTGTAAATAACAAACTACAGACGAGGTATCCTATTTTTAAGCATTTATCAACCACATTAAAGCTAACAAGAGAGGAAATGGAACATTAGAAGTGAGCTTCTTAAGTGTAATTTCCTGTAAGAGAAATTTATGGCCTGTACTTATTCTCCATTAGAGTACGTCTAAGCTCTTTTATTAGTTTATTCATTACGACGGCCCTGGTTTCAAGCCAGCTCTGTGAGCCAGCAGGTCATCAAGAAAGGGACCCTCTGGGGGATTTTTTCCTCCTGGTCCAGTTGTGTTTTCCAGATCAGAAGGCAGTTAACAAAAGTCGTCATGGTGTCTGCGGTGGGAGATTTTTAGGTTTTCCCCAAAAGGTAATTCACAGAGCAAGCCCCAGGGGCTACATTGGATATAAAATGAACATCTAAAACGTACTTTGAAATGAAATGATTTTCTGTTTGCCGTATGAGGTTTGTGATTGCCTGGCAAAGAGTGTTGCTTCTATTGCTTTTACGGCCAGGTTCAATTTCTTATTTAGTGATGTAATAAAGGGGTGATTTAGAACCTGGAGGCAATGACTTCCCAATCAATGAGCAAATCCATCCCTCACCCTCTGTGTACGTACCCATGTGCACACCATGGCTGAACTCTTAGCAACCTGCACGGTACTCAGATGACAGTCACGCTTCTCCCCAAAACTGTCCCTACTTCCCATGTTCACAATTGGTTCTCTCCCTTTGCCCCACAGTTCCCACGGCTCTGTGGAAGAGAGGAGCCCAAACCCAACTCAGCCACCTCCTTATCTGTCTCAGATTACTATTGCTGCAAATAGCAGAGCTCTGACTTTATTGTGATTAAACCAAACACATCTGATATTTAAAATCTGACACTGGGGACAAGAATGAGGAAAAATAATGAAAAAGATCAACCTTACCTTGTTTTAAGGATATTCAGAAACTGCAAAATTTCTGAAAACTGTATCAGTCTGAGAGCTCTTAAAAATCTCAAACCTGAAGAGGAAACAAAATAGAAATGCATTATTTTCAATGTAAGGTATTAATGTCTGCACTCTGCCAGTTGATTTACAGCTGCCAGACTGAAGGAGTGTGAAGCTCCCACAAAAGATCCACCATCCAGTCATGTGGACATGCTCTTTATTCTGATTCTTGGCTAGCTTAATCCCAGGTTGGTAAACTGCCTCTCTAATTAAAGGTGGCCTGTTTGGGGCCACTTTAGAGGAAGGTCTGCTGGGGAGAGCTCAGTTTATTGAAGATTCTAAACTGTCAGTCTCTGATTTAAAGAACTGTTTCTAAATTACCCGGTAGTCTGGGTGGATTTCGTTTCTGAAAAACACTGGGAGCTGTGATAGCTCAGAGTAACCCTTGTGCTGAACACAGATTAAACAGAAGAAAATGCAGAGATCAGAAGGGGAGGCTGATAAAATGAAAAGGCTCAGAAGCTAAAAGTACAATCATACATAAACTGATGGAGGGTTGGGTTAATATTGCTTAAAATTGAACTCAATGCAGAGCACAAGATGGGGAAGTAATCTCAGAAAGCAGAGAAAATAAGGAAAAGGAAGGAAAAAGATGAAATTTAAGGAACTAGAAATGGAATGGAGATCAGAGAGATGCAATCTGCGAATAACATGTGTTCCAAAGAGCAGTTCAAACAACATGTAAGTGATGATTAAAGCTTCATAGAAAAGAACTTCCTAGATATGAAAAAATGACATGATTTAAAGGTAGAAAAATAACCATCTCTTAAAGACCAATAACACAAGTATCTAGCTTTTTTATTATTATTTCAAATATTACAATACATCTATTGACATCATGAAAGTAGTGGTGGGGGTGGGAGGGTTGGAAGTTGCCATTAATAAAACTAATATCATATAGCTCTCTATAACAATGTGTTAAACAACAACTGAGCAACACTTAGAATTTTGAGACCCAAGATTTTTATACCCAGTAAAGGTTAAAAGAATTCTTGGATCTCAAAATTCTGAGTGCTGCTCATTAAAAATATAAGGAGCCTTGGTGGTACAGGGATTGAGATCACTTGACTGCTAACTGAAAGTCAGCAGTTTGAGACCACTAGCTACTCTGCAGAAGAATGATACAGTAGTCTGCTCTCACAAAAGCTGTGGTCTTGGGAAACCTATGATGCAGTTCTACTCTGTCCTGTGAGGTCAAAAGCAGTACATTTTTACTATTTATTCTAATATTATTTATTGATTGATTGATTGATTGATTGATTGATTGATTGTGATTTTGGTGAAGATTTATAGAGCAATTTCACTTTCCAGACAGCAGTTCACATATACTTTGTCTCATGTCATTGACCACAGTTTACCACAATGCAACAGCTCCCCTCCCACTTCCTCCCAATAGTTACCTCTTCCCAGTGACCATCCCTCCATACTCTCCTGCCACCTGAGCTGTCTCCCTGTGCATAAGCA